TTAAGCGTGTATCGCTAAAACGATGCCGATAAAGATACAGGGCAATTTATCGCATTGTTTCATCGTTGAACTTCGACTCTCACCAGACACATCTTCATTTTGTTTGTCTCTACAGGTTATGAGCCCAGAGCCTACCTAAGCGTGACCCGCTTACAATAGAGACCAGATGAAGGTGTGAATGCTTACTTGTAAGACCAGAACCCCCTGTAAGCCTGCTCCTCGATCACGGGTTCAATCCCCATCTTGATCATAATTTCTTGGGTCTCATTCCCCACACTTTCTTGGGTTTATCCCACTTCTCACACCATGCAGCAAGGGGGGGTGTTGAGGTTAAGCCTGCTAACATGATGTATCACCACAGTTTGGAGACACTGTGCAGTTGAACCTAGACAAGTAAGACCCAACTACCCTGGCAGCCACAAGCGTCTGTAGCCTAGTTGGTAAAGGCAGCACTCTAGTATGTGTCTCAGCTTAGCTGAGGTCGTGAGTTCGACTCTCACCAGACACATCTTCATTTTGTCTGTCTCTACATGAAGCTCAAACCACTTATGTCAGTTTAATCTAACTAGCCAATGTTTAGAGTAAAAAAAACCTTGATATCGCTAATAACTTGTCGCTGGATTGTAACATAAAGCTTATGTGCTTGAATAGCGGCCCATGTTCAAGAGTAGATTCTTGCATTGGGATTGCAGTAATCAATGGCAACCCCAAGCAGATAGTCGTCAAAGCAAGCCCATGGAAGCAACTGTCAGATTATCCAAAATACTAGGATTTTGTTCATGGTCTTGACATCAAATTGGCCTTTCTGTACGTAGACGGTCAGGGTTCCACTTGAGGTGGTGGTCTTGACTTTGGCTGAATGCTTCTCTTCGGCACTCTGAGGGAGGTTGGCCCCCTGCGCTAATGATTTCGCACGTCCAGTGCACGACTTGCGTAAACGGTTGCCGTGGATGGAACCATCGCGATGAGTTTTGAGGTTTGAGTCGGTGGACTTGTTGACTCGGACTGACTTTGGACACCAGTTGCATTTGTAAGTTAAAGCTCCTTCTTCCTGTTTTTAGAATGCAGAATGGTTAGCTAGCAAGTTGAAAGAATAGCAAATGACACAAAATGTGAACTTACTGTCTGATCGGGGGCTTTGTATGGTTCATCATAGTACATCTTGGCATTGTTGTACCCTTCTTTTTCTGACTTGTTCTTCTTGACCCACTTTAAATTCTCCTCATCCAAGTCTTGAGCAAGGTCAACATCTACCCTGAAATTGGTGCCTTGGGGACGAGCTGTAGACTAGTGAGTGAACAGAAAGAAGAAAGCGGCATCAGTTTGATTTCAATGTAGAGACTAGCTAGTCTCAAATATGAAAACATTCAACTTGCTTTTTTTTGGGGGCGAGCAGGTTTCTCTACCTGATTGGATGGTGCACCACTTGAGGCCTGTGAGCTGGTTTGATTGACCAGAGGCAAACTAGGTGGTACCTGAAGCGCTCTCCGGGAGTCTGTGTGGGTCTGAATGAAGCCGGGGCGCTCGAGAGGGGTACGTATACGGGTCGATTGGTGGGTAACTGTGCTGGCTTGTTTCGGCGGGGTTGACTCACGTCCTGCAGCATTGGATGTGGTCATGGCAGTGGGTTTGAATCGTTGGTAAGCGGTTGGGTGTGATTGGATGGCTGGTGATTGGGGTTTGGGGTGATCTGGGAAGGAAAATTGAGGCCCAGGTCCCTGCAAGGAGATAAGGCTCAACGCTACCGCGTGCTGTGGCACTAAAGCTCCTAATAGCTGTGTAGCGCGTAGCTATTTCTTTGGTGCGCTGTTTCACTATGTTACCACTAATTTTAGTGTTTGCATCCCATCAGCTAAGCTACATGAGGATCATGAATCCGGTAGCGGATGAACCGCTATACTACCGCTACATGGAGTGCTTACCAGCTCCAGCTAACACTAAGGCTAGAACAGCTAGCGTGTTTCTCTAAGCTACATATGTAGCTGCGCTAAATACAGTTTAGCCTAGTGTTGCGCCGTTGCTGGACTGCCAGAACCAAGAGCCAAAAAAAATGACCAAAAAGATTGTTGGTCCGGTTGTTAGTACTTTTTGTAAGCAATCCAAGGCAAACAATGCCTCAAAGAACAACTCCAATCCCAATCACTCTGTAAATCACGGTGTGGTAGTTATTCCTGTGTTTCTACACCAAAAATATAAAAATTTATTCTCATCTTTTTCTAAATCAGATATAAGGTAAAATAAACATCAAAAATGGATTCCTGAGGTAAAATAACCCCTAGTCACCCACTACAACTAACCCCATATCTCTCATAGTTTAGAAGTTACACAAAGTTCAACCTGTCACAGGATACCTCTTGGATTCTTTACTCTGAGTCTGACTATAGCTCATTTTGAATACTGGATGCATATTTCATATTGAATTCCTTTTTTTCATACTGAATTCCTTTACTAGCTCATATCTCATATTGAATTCCTTTGTAGGTGCACACGCATTCCTTTGTAGTAAGACCTTGTAGGCTAGCCAAAATCCCTCAAGGCTGTGCTCTCACTAGCTAATATCCCTCACCTGCATGTACTAGACTAGCTAAATTCCCTCATTGGATTTTCAGGTCAGCTAAATCCCCTCACCTGCATGTACCCTGGAGCTAAAATCCCTCACTTTTGTCTATATAAGGAGGCCTCTGCCTGCCAGTTGTATCCCCTCCTCATCAGATGCTCTGTAGTCAGTCCCCCCCATAACACTACATCACTGGTCACTCCTTATTATTAGGGGGTATCAAATATAACCAAATCCACCATTATTTAATTGACTGGTTTGAAAAAATCCACCATTTTTTAAAGGTGTTGGTTGTTGATTTAACCCCTCTTGGGGCACATAGATTCAAAAAAAAATTGGGAAAAGTGACTGGTTTTGAATGGTGGATTTTGTATATTTGATACCCCCTATTATTAGCTCCCTAGTATTGAAGTTTTACAATTACAACCCCCCTTATATATATTATAACAGTTCTTTATAGTGTAGAAATAACAATATTACTTTTTTCATAACCATTAAGCTATCTCACCTTTGCCTGAAATCCACTGCTTTTTGCCCTTATACACCCCATCTGCAAGGACCTGGGTTCAATTCCCATTGAAGACATCCACTTTAACTCCACTTCAACTCCATCTTAACTCCACTTTAACTCCACCGGTCCTCCATTCCATTCCTGGTTGAAGCATAAACTTTATATACCATCAACCTTGAGGTTGCGCGTTCAAGCCTCACTCTCAACACTTATCATCAACACCTCTATCAACAACTTTATCGACAACAATCACCAACACCTTCAACCGTTATACATATCATTTGACAGCTTCATCTTGAACTATCCTCTATCACAATATATAGACTGCCAAGCTGAGCTTGGTGGTCTTGTTGTTCTGATAGCATAGAAGGGCAGAGCTTGCAACTCCATCATCCCCTTCTCCATTCAGCAAAAGGGTTCTCACAAACCACTTTTGAGTCTTACAACGGCAGCAACTCTGGCAACTTGGGATCTGAGAGCAACAACCAACCTCCTGAGGAGCAAGACAATGGCTGTGCTGAAAATCTGGATGTGCGTGAGGGTGAGCTTGAATACTATCTTTTCTCATGCAAGTCAATCAAGTATTAATATGTTTTCCCTCTCTTTGCAAATTTCCTCAGGTGATCTAGCTAAAAATCATCATTATATTTCCAAAAAACTAGGGGAGATGTACAGTTAGTTGATCCATCAACACAAAGCTTTTATTCAAGACAATGTACACTAATGAGATTAAATATGTCTAAACCCAGATCAAGCTTTTGCTGTGCCTGGCTCAAAATATAAATGGCCAGGTACCATCACCCAAATTAAGCTCAAGAAAAAGGGCCTGATGCTGTCAATATCCAACAATCCAACCCAGTTAAGCATGGTGCATTTTTTGCAACCAGTCAAAAAACTCCTACTTCCTGCAACACATTTTTTATTACGTGGCCTCAAGAACAATTGGATCTCGTTAGTTCCTTATGTCGAAATCAAAGAGAACAACCTGATGGACATTGACAATCCAGAGGAAAGCAGCAACCAGGTTAATAACTCAAATGAAAACAACAACACTGACTAAAATTGAGACAGGATTCTGTTTTCATCTGTCACAGTTGCTTTTTCAATTCTTTCATGCTTGCTTATTTTCTTCTTTTGCATAAATGTGTGTTTGATAGAGAAATACCAATGGTTTACATCTGGAATACAAAACACACTGATTGAGTGAGACATAAACTTCTTTCTTACAATCACCACAATATGTATCATATCTTGAGAGAAAACCCATTCTTTTGGAGTGAAAAATTGGACAGCATGGCATAGCGGGCTGAGTGAGTGGATTCTTCAATGGAAGAAAACATATGGGAATTAATATATATTGCTTTCCTGCATTTGGATTTCTTTGGATTTATGTGACTTGCTCTTTTTTGGATTTTGTTGAACAGCAAATAGTAATAAAAATTGAAAGCTTGATTCATCAATTTCTGGTTCAATATTTTATTTGTACAACACAAGAAATTCAAATAATAAATTAGGGGTAGCTACATTAATGATCTGAAATCAATTTCCATGGAATGGATTATTATTGTGTGTTTACTTGGTTAGGAACATCGGATTGCACCACACACAGTCACAACTCACTGGACAGTGGACACTGGAAAGCTGTGTGTTGGTTGGCATTTATTGAATGTAATTAGATGACTCTGAGTTATTCAATGTTATTAGATTGCTCAATGATATTTCAGATGGCTCATGAATTAATATTGCTCATGAAACAATATTGAACAACTTGGAATCATCCATCAATCAATCTCAACCAACACAGTCACTGGGATAACCGCCTGTTGGATTTTTGCACAACCATATGTTGGTGGGATTTTATTGAATCTAGTTGGATGATTACAAGTTGTTGAATATTGTTTCATTTCAATAAACCCCAACCAACACACGGTTGCTGGAATAACTTTCTGCTTGAAATTACCACATTTGAGCACAATTAGTGGGGGTTTATTGAAGCTAGTTGCATGATTTCAAGTTGTTGAATATTGTTTCATGAGCCTTCTGCAACAATATTCAACAACTTGGAATCATCCAACTAGTTTCAATAAAACCCAACCAACACACAGTTGCTGGAATGGTTTTCTGCTGGGAAAGAGTATCAAAAATGATTAAATAGTGGCAAAAAATGTTTTCTGTTGAATCTGTTTATCTACAGGATGAGATTTAATTGAGTTAACTTGATTCCCTTACATTTGGATATGTAGGGATGAATTGAGCTCAACTTATTGTACATTGGTGCAATTTTATAGAAAGAGAATATTCATGTTTGTTATACAATACCAAAGGTTCAGATAATGTAAGAAATTCATTCTATTGAATATTATCCATGGGGTATGATTGATACACAAAATATCATGCATCACCCAATTGAACATCATGATAATTTTGACTCTGCTTTTCCATGAATTTGTTGGGGTATATATAAACAAGAAGATCAGATGGTTGAAAGTTGCAGATAATTGTGTGAGATGGCTTTCTTGGTATGGTTCTCAAACTAATAATTGGTAATAAAAAAAAGTTTTCATAAGAACAATCCAATAACTAAAACAAAGTGTTGTATCTGGCTGGGTAAGTGTGTCTACCTGGCCAGTTAGTTTACACAGATTATTTTTATGCCTGTGTTGATATGGCCACATGTTCATTTGGATATCACCAAGCTCATTCTGTAAGGTCTGGATATGAAACTAGAAGGAAACTCTAGTACTATTCCTGTCCTAATAAAATTTTGTTAGTAATTTTATATTAATTTTTAAAGTTTAAAGTATATTTAAACTTACAAAAAAAAGGGGATTGTTGGTTAAACAATCAAAGAAATTATAACATCACAATATTACTTGTTAAGAGGCCTAGAGTTGAGTTTTAATCAATACTCTGAATTCCAAAGGAGGAATTGAGGGAGGGTGAATTGTTTGTTAGACAATATATCACAAGGAGTTTGTCCAAAAAGGTCTTTTGGATGAGTTGAGGATTCCTGGGCAAATTCTAGAGCAATACTTCTGCAACAGCAAGTAAGAAAATGGCCAATTTTAAAGGAATAAGGAGCTGGGATCTTTTAAGGGTAAGGGCTACAGGTTAAGGCTGAAGGTAGCAGTAAAAGAGGAGCTCTGTTTCGTGGTTGGAATGCTAAGGTTGATAAGAGAAATGGTTGGAAATGCTGTCTTCAAGTATATAGTAGTATATATGGTGAAGTGGGTGAATTTCTGAGGTTTAAGCACTCAATAAAGGAGTCTTTATATAGCCACACACCTTAGGGTGGCTTGCAGTGCATTTTTGAACGATGACACTGATGCTTTGGGCTTGTTTGGCTGAGTGGAAGCCATGCCCAAGGCCTTGGTTATCAGTATCCCAAAGGCTGAAACAGTTGTAACTGTAACCACGGGTACAGCTACCCAGTCAGGATATTATGATGCAATACCAAGGTATTGCTAGGGTTCCAGATATCCAAAGGAGGCTTTTTGTTTCGCCTCCAATCCATTTTGGAGGGGATTGGTTGAGGTATTCTGATATGTACTGGCTGAGAACAAATTAACTACTTGGGCCAGATTGAAATGGGCCAATTCTCAATTCTGTTGATTTCAAACTGGACCAGGGTTATTCTGATGGATGGCTGAGGTAAGAGGATATTCTGAGTTTGCTCATAAAGGTTATTAAGGTTAGGGATAAACAAAACAGGTTACATGACCAAGTGGCTGGTCAGGGTTCAGAATATGTGGCCTAAACTGGTTACTTGGTTATAGTTGCTGAACTACAAGGTTGTACATGTTGAATAAGCCTTGAAACCTTGTTTATCTTGAGTTCGCATCCAGTGAACTTTGTTTATGTCCTCAGCTAAGTTGGTTCTGTAACTTTAAAGGTCTGTAGCTCTTTAATTATTGATTATTTTACAGAATTCTTTGTTTTTTGAGTATGTAGTTACACAGTGGAATGTAACTACATGAAGTTTGTTTTTATTTTCTAAGAAAAGTAAAAAAGTTAATTTTTATTTTTAAAGGCCTTTGTGGTCATTTGCAGGCTTTTGACCATATACACTTTTATATATAGATTTTTATGCTTAATATTAATTTATTATTTATAATATTTTTTCTTGGGCTAGTCTTGAGACTTGACTATGAGTTGTAATTGTTATTTTTATTATTTTATATTTTGAGGCCTATGGGTATGTATATACCTCAAGGCTGACATTCACTACCACCAAAAAACAAAAAAAAAAGGATAATATCATTTTTTATCTGATGTTCTTTTGTCATGTCTGAACCTGCGTAGGAGTTTGTCCCCTTCTGGGATTTCTTTTTCTGGGAGCCATTCATCTTCTTTGTTAGAGTCTTTGTAGCGGACAAGGTAAAATTTATCTTTCTGTCCTCTGACTCTCTTCTCCTTGATAACTTTGGCTATGCTTCCCTGATCTTGTTTCTCCATAGGTGGTGATATAATTTCAGTTTCAGTTCTAAGGGGAAATAGAGCTTTATCTGTTTCTTTATAGGGTTTAATGAGGCTAACTGGAAAGGTAGGGTGTTTCCTGTCAAATTCCTTGGTTAGTACTACTTCAACTGCATTTTTGCCATGTAGTGCTCTAATCACAAATGGTCCAGCAAAGGCATCTTTTAGTTTGTGTGGTCCTTTGATGTTATTGAAGTTGATAGTTGATACTAGTACCATGTCACCAATTTTAAAGTTGGGTTCTTTGTGAGATTTGTCCCACCTTTGTTTATTATATTCATGAGAATCATTCATACATCTAGTAGCATGTTTGCGTGCATTGTCAAGCATGGTTTTAAAGCTTGATGCAGTAGGATGGATATCCATGAGGTCTTTCCTAAGGCTATCTTGTGGCAATCTTGGGTTCCAGCCCTTTTCTAGCATGGATGGTGTTTTGTTGGTCGAACTGTGGACTGAGGTGCGGTAAGCCAGTTCTAAGGCAGGTAATAGTGTGACCCAGTCATGTGTAAAACCATCTGCGTCTTTGAATTCTAGTCCATATGCGCAAAATCTGCGGACCATATCTTCAAGTGTTTGGATCATACGCTCAGCTAGTCCATCTGTTTGTGGATGGTAGGCAGTTGAAAAAGATAATTTGGTGCCAAATAAGGAGTATAAGTTGCGCCAGAGTTCTGAAGTGAATTTTGGGTCTCTATCACTGATAATTACTTTGAAGAGTCCTGTCCATGAAACAACTCTGTTCCATATCATTAATGCTGTGTCCATGGATGTGTCATCTTTGTGGCATGGGAGGAATATAGGTGTTTTACTAAACCTGTCAACTATAACAAGACAAGCATTGTAATTATTCTGTCCTCCTGGAGGTAGTCCTGTCACCCAGTCCATGTTGACGACTTCCCAGGGCATTGATGGTTCTTCAATCTTCATCATGAGTCCAAATTTCTTACCAGTTGATCTGTTGGCTTTTTGGCATCTATCACATGTGGAACAATATTTCGCAACATCATCCTTCCAATTAAGCCACCAGGCACAGGTTTTGACTTTTTCCATGGTCCTATCTTCAGATAGATGACCGGAAAATGCACTGTTGTGGCATTCGTGGAGCATAATGCTAATTTGTTCTCTGTCCGTTAAGACCATAACACAAGAATGCTTGGTCCTGTGGTAAAGTATTCCATCAAATAGATGAAAACGTCCTTCTTGGTAACCACATCATCCCTGACATGATTTCCCATCTGGGAAATCTTGTAAATTTTAGGGAAATCCTGTAAATTTCTTTTTGAGATTTTTCCAGATTTTTTAGATTTTTCTAAATTTTTTAGATTTTTCTAAATTTTTTAGATTTTTCTAAATTTTTTAGATTTTTCTAGATTTTTAGATTTTTCCAACTTTTTTTTTAGATTCTTCCAACTTTTTTAGATTTTTCTAAATTTTTTAGATTTTTCCGGATTTTTTAGATTTTTCCGGATTTTTGGGATTTTTTTCAGATTTTGTAGATTTTTCCAATTTCTTAAGATTTTCCAATTTTTTTAGGTTTTTTCCAATTTTTCCAGATTTTTTTGGATTTTTTCAGATTTATTGGACTTATAAGATTTTCTACATTTATCAGATTTTTCTTAGAACCAAACCTGAAATTCTGAAAAGCTGATCTCCTGAAGTTCAATCTCTCAGAGTAGCTACCCAATTAGAGGTGTGTGTTTTTTTATGGTTAGCAGACAGTCAAGACTAGTAAATACATAAAATGTTCCATTCAAGACCAATAATGTCAGCTACATACATATATAAACAAATCTTCCAAATGTGCACAGTAGAATATCCCTTGGCTACCAAACTTATTGGGGCCTGTGAGCACAAAGCTACTACTGTAGGAGTGATAAACACATGAAGTCAACACATATTTGCTTGAAAAACCATTCAGACAAAGGTATTAGGTGTTTGAAGATGAAGGAAAATATGCAGAAGATCAAAGTCTACAACAAATCTTCATTTATAATCAGCGAAACTAAGGACAAGGCTTATTTTCTTCAAGATCAGGTGAGAGTTTGAGTGATGTTACGCCCCCGAGAGGACTGTTGTCAGTATGATCAACTCTATGAATTTCCTCCTGGAACAAAATCTCCCTAATGCCTTTCCAAACGTACCAAATACTTCACTGGAGGTTGAAGATGCTATCAAAGAGAAGGTCCAACGTCTGAGCTTGACAAGACAGTTCATTGTCTGCTCACAGAAGCCTGACAGCTGCACAATCTCCCGCGTGATTGAGCTCAGCTCCCGTTGTACTGCCGCGGCTAGTTCCGGCGTAGGTCCATTTCCCGCCTGCTCAGATTCAATTGATATCATCATCAGTTTTTTTTTCAAAAAAAAAAACCCTCGCAGAATCACTTTTGTGCAGTCAGTATTGATCTACTTACTAAGCTACCTCCAGCTTCCGACTCCGAACCGCAACCGCCTACGAAGAGCGGAATCCAGACCCCTCTCAACACCCGAGCAATCCTTTTTTTTAATTAAGAGAAACAAACAACATACTTCTAATTTAGTGACCTCAGTCAACATAAAAGTGAGATAATTGTAATGACGACTGAACAGACGAATATGGACGAGGTTAGGATTAGGACCTTGCCGGAGCAAGTAATGTCTAGCTTGAAGTTTGAGGCCATCGTAGAACGCCGAGAGCGCCTTGAGACAGGCAAGACTGAGGTCTCTGTTAGCTCTCTGACGACTCGCTTCCTCAGCCGAAATACACGACACCTAGATCGTTTTAAATTAGTTAGAGAGAGAGAGAGAGAATACAGACAAGAGAGCTAGTAAGATCCATACCATGTTGACATTGGTGGCCCAAGCCAAGAAGTAATCGATCATCTGGTTCTTGACGACTGGGTTAGTGATCAAGGGGATCCGGTCCTTATGAGCAACGATAAGTTCGCAGAGCTGGGCCATCTTATACTTGATCCGAGTGGCAATCGCTTGGAATTCAGAGCCAAGGTTACCAAGTCTGTTGGTATATCTCGTAAAGTCGATGAGCAGGGAGCAGACGCGCTCGGAGGTAAGCTCGGAGAGGGGCTCGCTGATCCGCTCGAAGAAGAGGCGTAGCATCGAGATGGCTTGTTCGATGAAGTGACTGAACGGACTCTGCGGCTTCACTCGATCGTTCTCAAAGAAATGCGCGACAATCGACTTGAGATGTTTCAGGAGGATCGGAAATAATGCTGTGTTCAGTTCTGTGCCCAATGCATCTTTCACTCCTTCTCGCATCCGTAGATCGTCGGCTACGAGTAGATCGACCATCTCCTAATAATCTCCAGATTAGTTTCAAGGTAAGTCTCCCCAACTTGGCTCTAGAAATCGCTCTCACGCACCTGGATATACCGATCCACATTTTGGGCTCGATCCGGGATCGCATAGAATCGATCATGCAGTAGGTCCGTTGGTATATAGTGTTCAAGAGGCGGAGAACGGGGTTTCGAATTATTGGGATCGTGAAGACTGGCGATAGATGTCAAGAGACCAGAGATGCTGATCCAGGCGTTGGTATTTTCCTGTGGACAGCCACGTATATGAGTCCCAAAAGGACACGATGTAAGCTAGCGCGAGAGAGGAAAGACACCAGACTTTTCAAAAAAAAGAAGACGGACCAAGACACCTTCTCCAGATATTGCACCCAGTGCTGGTGGAGAATCATAGAGCACCGTATCACCAGACGAGTCTTCGAAGGGCCGATGTCCAACAAGTGTTGACAGAAGTTTCCAACGTCTCAAAGCCTCATCCCACAATGGATCGGTGATTGGTTAATTGCAAGAGATTGTTCGCATCACCAATTTAGCCCTTTTGGCTTGGGTCACTCGTCCTGAAAGAATGAAAGAAGAAGTTAAGGTGACTGTGATGATGATGTGACATGTTTTTTTTGGCTACTGACCACCTAATCCTTTACCATCGTCAGGCAATCCTTGCAAGGTGGCCGTTAGCTGAGAAGCTGTGAGACTGGAGTCTAAGCCACACAGCTGTAAAACAAAAGGATGTTTATCAAAGATACTGATGATCTCCTTTGAGCATCGAAGCAATAAGGCCAGGTTATATTGGTCGACTGTACACAGACCGAGTGGGATCGCCAGTTGTAAGAGGTGTCCGAAGACGTGCCAATCATTTGCATTTGATTCACACGAGAATGGAAAAGTTTGCTAGTCCCAAAAAGAAAGAAAAAAAGCAGCAGCACGCGTGTGAGAATCTTGCGCCGATAACTATGAAAAAAGGAATAAGATGCGTACGATATGGCTTCGTTCACTCCAATCGAATGCTTCTTTAAAGCGAGCCAGATAAGCCTTGAGTAGCTGAAGTACCTCTCTCTCTTCCTCGCAATAAACCCAAGAATCCAGCAGACTCTTGAGGA